AAAGCAAAACCCTGTACCTAAGACCTACAGGACCTTCCCCAGGATAGCCTAGGCTAGAGTCAAAGAGGCGGCTGCTGTGGCGCAGGCAGCGCCAACCGAGGTCAGGCTGAAGGGCAGGCGGCCGAGGCAAAAGCAGGCAGCCTAGTCTGGCCCAGTTCAGTTGGCGGCCCACCTACGAAGCTCAGGCAAGGCAGCAAGCTCATAGAGCCCATCAAGGCCAAGGCCAGGGGTGACTGTCCTCTCGAGAGGTTCAGGCAAAGGCCGGTCCCTAGTAGGGCAGTCCGCAGCGTTCATCCGAGTCGGACAAAAGTGGAAGGAGATATGCAAGTAGCCGCGATCTTGCGGAGGATCGGGGCGAGTCCACGAGACGGGCTGCGGCCTTTAGCAGCCGAATTCAGAGCAACGGAGGAGTCGATCAGCACCACAACACGCCTTGGCCCTTTCCTAGCCAAGTGCCAGCCGGAGGAGAGCAGCCGATTCAAGGATGTTGATGTGGGATCTTCCCCGCCAATGCCACGACTTCCCCTCAGTCCAGGTGAGGTGCAAGGCTGCATCGTTAGCAAGTAGGGACTCGAGGCCGTCGGCTTTAACGGAGAGCTGCCCGGCAGCAGAGGCTCTGAGACGAAGAGTCTCGTCAAAGACGGAGGCCATAGCCTTTGCAAGCAGCGGGACGTACTTGGCAGAAGGCGCGGTATACTTGCCCTGAATGCGCAGGTGGACGTGGTCACGGGCGCAAGGCCTGCAGATCGGTGCCAGATCGACGCAAACCTGGAGGAAGCGAAACTCTTTCTGGTGAGGGCTCCCGAAAGGGCAGGAGGCAGTAAACGCCTCAGTCGCGCCAAGTTCAAGCAGGCGACACTCAGGAAGCCAGGCCATCTTTGACCTTCTCGGCTGCTCAAGGATGCCAGGTACCCCCAGGCAGAGGGCGACGAGGGCAAGGGTCGTACCATGGAGAGTGCGCTCCTCAGTGGGGCAGTGGCCACGCGGCTCCTTGTAGGAGCGTAAGGGAGGGAAGGCCGCAGGCGAAAACGTGGTGCAAGGAGGCTCGACGGCAAAGGAACGGAGACGGAAATTCTTCAGGAGAAAAAGCAGCCACTCCAAAGTCCGCAACCAACAAAGGTTGAAGTGAGGGCTGCGCGAGATATCCAACACAGGGCCGCAGGTCCAGCCCAAAGCGCCGAGCTCGGCGGAGATTCGGCCGCTGCCCCCGCAAACCTCAATGAAGTCCTGAGGCGGAGCAGTGACAGCACGCAACTGGAAAGGCTCAGGGTCCGAGAGCTTCGAAAGCAGGGCGCTGGCCAAAAGGCGTGCGCCCCCTTTCTTTGAGCCAGCCCTGTAAAGGACGCGAGAGAGGGGCAGGCCAGCATCGGCAGCGACAAAGGCACCTTTGCATTCAGAAGCATCCGTGGCATAGATGGTGCCGTCCAGGGGGGCGGAGAGCTCGCTCGAGGCCAAAGGGGCGAGCACAGCGAGAAGCACAAGCTCCTGCGCAGACCTTAAGGCAGCAGGGGTCGAAGCGGTCAGCCCGAACAAGTCCATAGGAGCAGGAAAGGACTGACATGAGGGGTCTCCGAAAGAGGAGGGCAGAAGTCCAGCCGCCCAGGAGACTGAGGTGCAGAGCATCGGAGGTGTGCGACAGGGCAGACAGCTCCAAGGAAATGAGTGACAAAGCAGCCCTTTTCCTCGCAGGAGACACAGTGACAAGGCCCAAGGCACGGGTCCCGGCGGAGGAGTTCAGCTCGGCTCCGGCGTCCAAACCCGACCCCACTGGTCTTCATCCGACCCCTGGAGGCTGTAGAGGGCGTAGGCCTCTTTGGCAACCCTTAGAGCGGAGATGCAGGCAGGCTCGGAGCAAGAACCGGCGGGCTTGACGGAGACACGGCCCGCTTTTGGCCACGGAAAGGCGAAGTCGAGGACAGGCGGGTGCCATCCAAAAGGAGGCCAGCAGCACGGTGAAGGAGATTGAAATGAGACTCACAAGCAAATTCAACTCCGAGCTGGTCCCCTGGGCGATGGCAGAGAAGCAGACCACCAGTGTCAGGAGAAAACAGGAGGGGCCTCAGATCATCAGCGCCAGGGCTGTCGGCAAGGCAGTCGCCTCGAACCGCATTGTGGTGGCAGGCCGGGCGAGGTGCAGCAAGCCTTTCGAGTCCCAAAGCTTTGCAAGGGCAACGGTCTCCTCGATGCTCTCAGCAGACCAGTTGGGGCAGGCAGCAGGCGGGACCGGCCGCCCATGCAACAAAGAGTCAGGCTCAACATTAAGCCATGTAAAGCTCATTGCCAAGGAAGGGCGTGGGGTCAAAAGCACCCGTGCCAGAGAGCTTTAGGCGGGCAACGTCGAGCGAGCGGTAAGGCTCGAGCGCAGGCTGTGCTGAATTATCTACAGGTACAGAATGGCCGGTGAGGAGGCTGTAGCGGTCAAAGCCGCTAGGGGCAAGCTGCGTCACGCGGGCACTCAACTCTCGAAGGCGTGCAATTAATTGTGGATTGCGGCGGCCAGAGTCAGGCAAAGTACAATCGCCGACAGAGGCACCGAAGGCCTTAAGATGCCTCCCAACATGGTCAATCAGACGTCGCTGAGCACGGGTTGGGGGCCGCTGAAGCTGTGGCAAAGGGATTGGCACAAAGTTGGCATGGAGAAAGTTGAGGGCCACGCAGGTGATGCGCAGGAGGCGCCTGTGCATGATGCGCCTCCGAGCGCGGGAGCCAAGCTCAGCAGGAAAGCGCGAAAAGGCCCCTGGACAGGGCACAGGCAAAGGGAACAGGTTGCCAGAGCGCACGCAAGGCCCAACAGGCTGGAGCCTGGGCAAGTGCAAAGTTGAACGTAAAAAACCCGCAAACGTTGCGCGGAACCGGAGGACAGAGCGGAGGAGCCGCCCCGTCCAAGAAGCAAAAGTGACCCGGGCGTCAAACCCAAGCGGTGCAGCAGGCTGAGGCAGAGGCGGCGGGCTTGGGAGCAGCAGGCCTTACTTTGCAGGAGGCTCCTTTAACTTGTTTGGGAAGCGCGCGGCGCGGCCTGGCCTGAGAGGACTCTGCTCCAAAGCCACCATAAGGAGGCCCAGGTGCTCCTTTGCCCCGGCTACATCGCCATCCGTCAGGCAGTTGGCCACGTGAGCCAGGCCCCACATGTAAAGCCACACATCGAGACGTTTCCAGGCATCTCTTCCAAGCTTGCGGGCACAGGAGTTGAGGGGTAAAGCCTCTTGAAGGCGGCCTGAAGCACCTGCATTTAAAAGTCTCAGGGCAACGCTGCCTGAGGAGGCCAGGTCTGCCAGCCCATCTTGTTGACCAACCAGGCGGTTGACGAGCAAAGACAAAGCCTGGGTCTGCTGGCACGGGTTCGGGGGAGTCTGGTCCGTCTAGGGCCACGGAGCAACGGCAGTGCTGATCTGAGGCTCGGGCCTGACACGAGGCGGTGGACCCACAAGAGAGGCTTGCTTCTTTAAAGGCAGGCCGGGCCCCTTCGGCAGGACAAAAGGCTGCTGATGCGGAGGGGTTGGCAAGCCGCCTGAGCAGCCAGCCTCCCTTCGAACTCCTGCTGTCTCTTCTGCATGCTGGAGAGCTGCTGGGAGAGTTGGGGCAAGAGAGCCGCAACGGAGGAGATCTGGTCCGCGAGCTGGGCGGTCGTGACGCGTTTGGCCTTCGGGACGGCCTTCTGCTTGGCAGTGTGCCCTTGCTTCGGCAGCGGGCCTTCCAAACCCTCTGCCTCTTCCGGGCCTTCGGCTGCGGAGTAGAAAGCCATCCTCTGAGATTCCACCTCCGAAAGCCAGAGCCGGGTCGCCTCCGCCATGCAAAATTGCATCCGGCTGCGTCGGCACGTAGGGAAAGATGCCCGAAGCTTCGGTCTCCTCGGTGTACTCGTGCAGCAGGGCTAAGGCCTCCTCCCCTACATCTATTAGCAGGACCGGTGCTTCCATGTCTATGCTCTGCTCTTCCCCTTGCTCGTCCAGGACGCACATGGGCAAGTGAACTGCCTCTGAGGGCCCCAAGAGGGAGTCGTCCAGAACGCCTTGTGCGGAGACCAGGGCCGACGGAGCCAAAAAGCCGGAAGGTATGGCAAGCAGGGCACCGCCATTTCTGAACATATCGGCTTGGCAGCTCCCAAGTAAGAACCTGTAAGCTGAGCCCATCCTCTGCCAGGGTCGGCAGAGTCATCCAGGCAGGCGCAACACAATATACACGCGGTTAGCAAGGCCAGGCAGGGCCGGAGTAGGCAGGGCAAGGGACCGGCAGGCTTGAAGGCAGCGTTCAGGAAGGGGAGGGAATCCAGCTTGGATTTCCTCGTGGCTCAGCGGGGACAGTGGGGTCTACCCTAGCCCAACTAGAACCCGAGGACCTATCACTAGGGGAGGTGTCTCGGGCAGGGGTTATTGCAAGGCCACGGATGGCGTCAGCCAATTCAGCAACGGCACTGGCGAGACGCTGCTCCTCAGGACTCATGCAAGTAGCCCCGCAGACGAGGCTGAGCAGCTAAGCGCCCTGCTTCACGGGGCAGGCCAGAGGGTCTAGAGACTAACTCTATGTCTGGGAAGGTCCCGGAAGGAACAAAGAAGCCCTAAAAACCCAAAGACAAGTCAAAGCCCCGGCAAGGTAGCCCGCAGCAAAAACCGAGCAGGTCAGCAGCAAAGACCCTGAGCAGTGTCCAGGGCAAGCAAGACCAAACCAGGCAGAGGAGCTACCGGCCTGCAAGACGGCCAGGGCTTGACTGAGCCACATTTGCTTGAGGATCACCGTCCAACAGTTTCGCACCTATTCTGCAGCCCCAATATGATATGGCCATAGTAGCTTCCATTTTCTTTTCCATTATCCCCATCACCCTAACCTCTCAAACCGTGAAGCCCTCAACTTCTGTCAGAGATGTCAGAGGCTCATGTCCAGATTTGCGCGCTGCGATGTTACAAACTCAGACAACCCTCCTTGCTGCATCCTGCAACCTGCCTTTTTCAGCTGCCCGAAAATTGATCCTGGGATCCAGGTGCCGCAGACTGCGATGCCAAGGCTCAAACCTTGTTCAGCATCCGGCCGAGCCCACCTCTTAGGGCAGAAGTCGCCGATGCCAGTGCTCCCGGTGGTCCAGAGGCTGCCGGCGCCTTGCTTTCCGGCGGTCGCTCGTACTGGTGGATCCCACCGCGTTCCAGATCGCGAATCTTTGAAGCTAGCTTCTGGCGCTCGCTGTCATGGGCCTCCTGCCGCTCTTGCAGCTTCTGTTGTAGCTGCACAGCACGGAAGACCGCTTCGGCCACCGGCTCCATGTTGCCTTCATCGAGGGCACCTTTGTCAGCCAGCAACTGCACTCCCAAAGCAGCATTCATGTCCCGGAGCCGTTCACTTTGCTGGCTGAGAGCTGTCTGCGCAGCCTGCAGCCGGCAATCGCAAACTTCGGGCAAGGCTGCCAGACCCTCTTTGCATTTGCCTACAAGCATCTACTTTCCCTGCACGAAGAATCCTTAGCAGAAGATGTCAATTTTGGGGGTTCGAATGCTTTCCAGCTCCCCTTACCTGGCCGTATGTTTCCCAGCTTTTCCTTACGACCCGAATCACTATGCCACCTCCAAACCAGCATGGCGCCCCTCTACGTCGCCAAGGCCCTCGAGCTCGGGCGCCAAGGCATCCAAGCGAGCCTGGGGGCAAAGCAGTACGTCCATCAGAGCTGAACACACTAATCTCGGCCCTTAGAGACTCGAGCAACCGGTCCCTGCAGGTCTGGAGTTCAAGCATGCAGGCAGCAGCCTGCATGTCGGCACACTCCTGAATCAGCTTCACGCGATCCTGGTCCGCGGTTCGCCGCGCATTCTCCTGTCCAATACCAGGCAGGTCTCTGTAGTTCATCAGAGTCTTAACCAATATTTGAAGAATTGCTGGACGTTGCTGTCAGTACTGATAATCTAGAAAGACCAACTCTTGAATTCCATCTCGAAAACAATGTCCATGCCGGTCAAGGCCCCGACAAGGCCGCCAACGCGCCGCACGAAGCCCTCGGATTGTGATGCGATGGCTTCGCGAAGGGCGCTGCCTGCATGCTGAGATGCCAGAATTTGGATCATGGCGCTTAGGTGATCACCACTTTCCGGAACGCACATACGATTGCACTCCCTCCGGGTGGAAGCACAGCGAGGGACTTGTACCCTTAACAGTAGCAAAAGATCACTTGTAATTGAAATAATTGAAACGATGCAAGAAGGCAAAGCGCGGGCAATGCCTGTGAAGATGAATTTGCCTAACTACTGGAGCCCCAGAGCTCCTGCTCCCAGCCTGGCGTTTCCAGGAAAATCTTCACACAATTTACATACTGGGGTGCTCCTTTCTCCTGAGCAGGAAAGATGACGGTGCCCATCATCGTTCCAAACTGTGTCCGTTGAAACAGTGACGCACTCTTGTCTTGGTAGAAGTACACAGTGCGCGTCCAGTTTGTCTCGTTGGGTCCCACTTCAGTCAGGTTGTACTGGAAGCGTCCGCCAATGGTGTCGATGGCATCCTGGGCTATCAGGTCGCCCACAGAGAAGATGATAGCACCATCAAAAGTTGCAAACGTTGGGGGCTGGTAGTCTTCAACCTGGTAGCGGAAGAGGGAGTAGAAAGCGCCCGCCCAAAGGAACTTCTCCAAGATCATGCCGGGCGGCGTTTCGGGAGTGAATGGCTTATGAGAGAAACCGCCAACACTCAGCGTGTTGGGATAGCAGACAGGCCACATGTTTGAGGTCATAATTGCGTTGAAGATGGCTTGTGCTGGCTGCTTGATTGTGACGTGCGTCTGCAGCTTCCATGTTGATGACAGCCTGCGATTCTCCCACTTTGGCAGCAAGTCTGACGTAAACCAGGAAGAGTACTGCGCAGTTTCTTCCTCTGACATGATCGTGGTAGAGCCGCTGTAAATCCATTTCTTATCTTGTCGCAAACTAGAAGGACTCTCTTTTTCTGTCTGCTTGCCCTTCTGCGCGAAGTGTCCTTGCAGCAGAGACGTTTCTGAGTTACTCTCACACTCGTCGGCCAAAACCAGTTGTGCAGACAGGCTCGCTGCAACCACTGCACCCAAAAATCCCTTTGCCATCATCCTTGGCCAGCTGTTCTGTTGCGACCCTTCACTGCGTGCTCAAGCCAAAAATGCTTGAGTTCAGGACATGCCGCAAAAACATGCATAAACTGAGCAGAAGGAGTTGCTTATGCAGGATGCCAGTATTCTTGAGGCTCCACAACAAGACTCTGATTCTTTGACTTCCACAACAAGAGGGCCATTTAAGGGTTTGTCAAAAGCATGGGCTTCTCATGGCATTTTGGAACCGGTAGCCAGGTGGCCTGCGTCCTCAAAGTCCACACGCGCAGACTGGAGCTCGGCCTTCTCCTGGCTGCGAGGTCAAGAAAGCCGAACATGAAAAAGGACTTTGCCACGAAAATAGTGATTTAACGACAACAGGGGTAACCAGATGTAACCAGCCAGAGCAAGTTCGGAGTACAAATCCAACCCTATACCCTAGACGCAACACCTTAGACCATAAAAGCCCCAAACCCAACCCTAAGCCTTGAACCCTGAACCGTAAAAACTGACATCAGAACTCCATGGTCGCCTCCGAGACCTTTTTCAGGCGGGCAGTCAGGGAAGCCTCCAAAGATCTGCAGGGGGCCATAAAGGGACTCGAGGATTTGGGATCCTTGGGTGCAGGAACCGTAAACGCCTACCCTAAGATCCACACAACAGGCAAGGCCTGCGACGATGGACCTTTATGAGCTATAGTCTAAACTCCCTCCTAGAATCCCCCTCAATAACCCCTATAATACTCCCCTTTATACTCCCGTCCCGATACAACCCCCTTTAAGGAGTTTAGACTTTAGCTCATGTGGGAGGTGTCCAATCATTAGGATCCCTTTTAGGCTGCCATGTTCTTCAGACATGCTCTAAGTTGACAAGGAAGACGTTGACAATCATGGTAATGACCTCGGTATTCACTAGAAGAGTATACCATCGCATGGCGCATCATTCTTCCTGTCTTCAATACTGGCACTCTAAACTTATTGGTTGTTCGTAGGGAAAAGCGGAATGGAGCCCTGTAGTAGCCCCTATAAGCTGCGATACCCCAATAACACAATAGTTTCCATTTCCTTCTCCATTCCTCCATTCCCTACTAACGAATCAGAAAATCCTGAACCGTAGAGCCAAAACAGTGGTCTTCGATTCCCGGCCTCTGTCTTTTCCAGCTGCTGCAGCCGGAGAAACTGGGAGGGAGATTTGAGTGGATTTGGTAAGTTTGGTGTATTGAGCGAAAGGGGAACAACCAGCGAACCCTTGGCTGCCTCAGTATTGGCCTCCTGCTGAACTTGCGCAAGCCAATCTTTCTCCTCGCCATTGCAGCATAAGCGAACACAAAATGAAGAGTGCAGCAAACCGACACGCCACAAGGCCACAGTAGCAACGTAGGGGTCAAATGCGGTGTCACGTGATTGAAACCCGGTCCTGCTGACTGCTCTCGTCCGGCTCCTCTGCCTCCTGTGCCTCGCCTCAAACAAGAGCTTCCTACGTGTTGACATTCACCATGCAGAAAGCTACGGACACTCACCTTCATCCCGGTTCGGGTCCAGGTCCAGATCCAAATCCGCCGCTCTGGCAGCCCAGGAGTCTGCTAGCGCTTGCCGGAGGCGCGCTGCCTCGGCCTCCATTTTTTGCACAGGCGTAAGCTCAAATACTCTGGAGTTCAGCTGGATAGGAAGTCCGGACACCTCTAGACTCTAGCAAGGGTAAAGTCCAACCAATCCCAACCAGAATGCAGGTTCCAACAAAAAGGATAACCAACATACTGAAACGGGCGGTCAGACACGCTACCCGAACGATGGAGTTCTGGCGACATGAAACGACCAAAACACTCAGACATCATCCGCATCTTGGAGATCCAAGCATCGTCAGCGACTACAATGGGATGATGCTCTCAGGGCATTCCTCTTAAACATAACAAAGCCTGGGCCGGATGACTAAAGCGGCAGCTCCATCAACTCTCAGCCGAAAGCCCTCCACCCATCAGGGTCGATGCCTCCTTTCCAAAATACCAGGGCACATCCTGTTGTCCAAAGACCCAGAAAGCCGTGACTGTTAACCTTAGACCTAAATGTGTCCAAAGAACAACACAGCAGGTCGTGTCTCAAAAGGAAAATTAGTTCTGTGCATCTTGGAAAGATGTCAGAATTGAAACGTCATGTCCAACACCTTTCAAAAGAAATCTTGGGATGCCCTTCCCAGTACAGCAAATATCTTATTATTTGCATCTCCGAGATGATCACAACGTGATATTCCGTGAAACAATGTCATCAATGTAACCCCCCCCCGCTGAGCCAGACACAACTAAACCTACACCTCCACTCCTTGTAACCTGGCTACGAAACCCCAACCCCTAAACCCTAAACCCTATATATCCCATTATCATAGTAGTATCCATGTTCTTTTCTTTCCTAGGACCCTAAACCCCTTAATTTCCAATGATCTCTGATCCTAGCCTCCTGGGTCAGCAACTGCTCCTGGAGTCGCTCCGCTTCCTGCACCGCGCTGGTGAGGACCTGAGGCTGCAATTTCCTTGCAGAGTTTAAGGCTTACTGTTGGGGCTATATAGGGGTTATATAGAGATACTGAAAAAGAAAATGGAAACTGCTATTTAGGGTTTAGGGTTTATTGTTTAGTAAGGAATTGAGGAATGGAAAAGAAACTTGAAACTGCTAGCTTGGGTTTAGGGTGGTTAGCATGGAATGGAGGACAAAAAAAGAAAATGGAAGCTACTATTCAGGGTTTAGGGTTGTTACTTGGGAATGGAGTAATGGAAAATAAAATGGACGCTACGATTTAGGGTGTAAGGTTGCTAGCGGGGAATGAAGGAATCAAAACTAAAAAAGGAAATCGGAGCCACTGTAGGGTTTAGGGTCTAGAGTTTGGGATTTTGGGTGGTTAGCAGGGAATGGAACAATGGATCCCACGAGTGGTGTCTAGATGTATAACCTCCAGATATCTCCAGATAATACTGTGGTTTCCATGTTCTTTTCCATTTCTTCGTCAGCATGGTTCTTGGACTTTAAAGGCTTTATGAAGATTCTGTGCTTGGGTAGCAAATATAAGAGGGTTTAAACGACTGTGTCAGGTGGGGGGGCTGTACCAAGCCTTATGACAATCTCCTACCGCACTACAAGCCTAGTTGCAGACCTGCTGAACTAGGTGCACATGGTGGAGGCAAGCGCACTCCCTTTTTCCAGCCACGACTACATTCGGTGGCTAGATTTCCCCAACT